TTTAATTTATTTTAAAAATTAAAACTGATATACATGTTTTTATTATATTTATTTAATGTCATATATCATAAATTATAAATTTATCATTTTAAGTAATACAATTTTTTATTAAACTTTTAAAATTTAAAAATTATATTAGTTTTAACTATTTTTTATTAAGCATGACGTGGCAATATTTTGCCATCCAAGCAGCCAAGCGGGGTGTGTCCTCAACAGCAGTTAAGTCAGGCGAGAATCCCAAACGGCAATTAAGGTGGCCTAAGAAGAAGGGCTTAATTGCTTTGATCCTAGAGTTCAAGGGCTTAACTGCATCAATTAAAGTCTAGGGGCTTAATAGCGATTCTGGGGTTGGTTCAGGGGCTTAACTTATGGTTTTGCCAAAAAAATATACGTACAAAAGTTAAGTGCGAAAATTGCATAAAAATCTTAAAATTAAAGAACCCATATTAGCATTTAAGCAAACTTTAAAGAAGCTGTATGCAGCAAGTAAAAACTTACTTTTAGTTGTAGGTTTTAGTCCCTTAATATAATACTTTTAGTCATTTATCTTAATAAATTTATAAGATTTAACTCATCACCTTATACAATAATACTTTTAAACCTTCACATATACAGATTAAAAAAAATAACTCTTACTTATAATATTCTGTTAATTTTATTAATTGATAGTTAGTTCTGTTAACTGACTGTTAACTCTGTTAACTGACTATTAATTTTGTTAACTAACTATTAATATTTATTAGAATTTCGTTATAAAAAACATAAAATTTAAATTCAATTTTATTTATTAGTTTCGTTAATGAAATATTAACAAAATGCTAACAATCAATTAACAAAATTAACAATTAATTAACAGAACTAATAGAATGTTATAATTTGACATTAAATAAGAATTATTTTTTTCAATTTGTATATGTGAGAGGTTAAAAGTTTATAATATAAATTGAGAGATTAAAATTTATAAATTTATTAAGGTAAAAAATTAAAAATATTATAATATAAAATGAAGATTAAAATTTATAAATTTATTAAGATAAAAAATTAAAAATAAATTTTAACCGTACGTAACATTGCCTTTACGTACATCTCTTAACACAAGCACATGCAGGATTAGATTTGATGGACCATCATCCATCACATGTTCCACTGACAGTCTCTTCAAATTACACTTTTACTTTTCTACGGTTTTGTTGGAAATGAAACGTGGCCAGCCCTTCATCCATCCAATGGCTGTGGAAGATATTCAAACCCCAAAACAAATGACTCGGATTTTGTATTTTGCTTTGTTATTTGCTCAAACCTCGCTGTAACTCCAGCACAGTAATAGTGCTTCAAGATCTGTTCAATTTTGTCCAAGAAAAAATTTCACAGTTTTATGTATCAACTATTATAATTAGACATTATAAGCAGTTGGATGCTCGGATGATGTGTCTGCATGTGTTGATAACAATGCAACTTATCTAACTATTATTTACATTTCATGTTATAATTTTATTGGTTCTTTGCCCCAAAATGTAAAACAGTTTATAAAATTCTTTTCTTCTGACTGAAGATACAAGAAAGGTAAAAAAGAGAGGGACCATTTTAGTAATTACAAAACAGAACATGGTTACATATACAACAAAAATAGCCAGGATGTTTCCATTACCTTTATTAGCTTACAGACAGGCAAGGTCCTAAAATTCTCTGTAAAGAATCAATCAGTACCAAGAAAACAGAACTCCTAATTCCAAGAGTGATGGAACTGAGAGGCTACAGTTTATGCCTCAATTTCTTCACAATTTGCTGTCTTGTGCTTCTTCTCTCCAGCTCATCAGGATCTGTTGAAGCGTACAAAAACTACACAGTTGGCAGTTCGTTGGGTTGGTACGATAATACTGAAAAGCCTGTAAACTACCAGAAATGGGCAGATGGCCTCAACTTCAGCTTGGGAGATTTCCTCAGTAAGCACTTAATTAGATTGGATGCATCTTAATTTCCATTTATATACCTCCATCCCTTTTTCATAATCATCTAGCTTCTTGTTTGCTTAATTTTCCTCAAGTTTCTTCTTTTAGTACTCACCAAAATCTAAAAAAAAAAAAAAAGGAAGTTTCTTCAGTAGTCATGACTTGACAAAAAGTTCAGTTAATTGCAATTAACAGAAGCAAATTCCCTAATTTCCCTATTTAAGGAAACTTGATACACCAAAAGTAGTTTAATTACACGATCTTCGTGGTTTGTATATATTTATGTATGCAATTTAACTCTGATGAGCTGCAATGCTCAAAACTTGAGTTGGGGATATATTTAGTTTTAGATATTCTTAGTTATTTAATCTAAGTACATAGGAAAAAAAAAAAACTCAACTGAAAACCCCTTTTGAAAGTTCTCATCCAGAATTAGCTTTAATTATTTTTTAACCTTTGAACAAAGGGAAATGTGGGGTTAGGAAAAATTAAAGAAAGATAAAGAAGATACTATTCATTTTAGGTGGGTGACCCTTAATATCGATTGTTTAACCAGTAAAGATTGTTTGACGTCCTCATGAAGGCAGAGCAGTTAAGGATATATATGCTGATCAGGTCCATTTCCGTTGATGATTCAATCAATGATTTAAAGCGTCTGTAAAGTTTGATGATTGATGATAAATGATGAGCTGTGTGTTGTGTTGTGTTGTTCAAGAAGATTTGTCTTCATTCCCATCCCATGTGCAATGCTGTTGCTAACTCACACACTCAAAGTAAACACCAATCTTTTGAACTACAACCTGGCACACCATGACCTCTCTGTCGGTGAAACTCACCTACTTTCTCTTCTTTTTTTGAAGAATATTCTGGCACACAGTTTTCACCAGAGAAAACTTTTTATAGTATTTGATCTTCAATTCTTTGTTCAATTCTTGTGAGTGCAGTTTTCAACTCAGATAATAATCATTCCATAGTTCAGACATACAATTTCACCACGTACAAGCTCTGCGATTCCAGCGACGACTTGGGAAACGATACAATGGAATGGTCCAGCGCCGATCCATCTGCAACAGCGCCGCATGGTGTTTCCGTGGCGGTTCCTCTGGTGAAGGAAGGGATGAACTATTTCTTCTCTGCAGATTATGATGGAGATCAATGTAAAGCTGGTCAGCATTTTCAGATAAATGTGACTCATGGACAGGGCCTGCCCAAGAGCCTACAAGAACCCTCGGATGAGGCGCCGGCTCCCAACAGTCCGGACTTTGCCAGCGCCGATTCCTCGCCGGACACCATTGTCCCGTCGAACTTCGATCATCCGACCGATGAGGAGACGGATGATGATAAGGAGAGTTCAGGATCCATTTCCTTGCTTGTTAAGTCGTCAGACAGGATTCTGTTTAATGGATTTGTGACGTTCTTAGGGATTCTAAGCATATTTTGATGATTTTGAATTTTTACCTTCCTTTTCTTTTACTTTGTAAAACTAATCCTATTACTTTTTGTTTGTGTGTTTTGAGTATTAGGAATATAAAGGTATTACATTTATTTCTTTTATAACAGATTGTGTCATGAAATTAATTTTAGTGGTCTAACGCTTCATTATTAAGTCTTAGCATTTAGGCTTTAGTTTTTGAAAAATACCTC